GGGTACGCGGTCCAGACCTCCCCAGAGACCCTGGCTGACAGAGGAGGTGTTCAGGATGGTTGAGAAAAAGCGACAGGCCCACTGTCATCGGCTACAGAATCCCACGTCAGAGAATGAGGAGGCTTACCGCAGCCTTCGCTCGGAGGTTCGGAGAGCCGTGAGGCGCTGCAAGGATGGGTGGTGGTCGCGGGTTGCTGAGGAGATGGAGTCTGCCTCAGTGGCCCGTGATCACAAATCTCTATTTAAACTCCATCAAAAAAGTAACCTGCAGCGCCACACCTATTACCATCATTAGGGGAAAAAACGGTGATCCAATCTCCGACCCCCAGGAACAGGTTTGCAGATTTGCTGAGCATTTCTGTGAGGTCCTGGGGGAGGGAAAATCCCTCAGCCAAGAAAACATCGTGGCACAAAGTGAGGATGACCCTGCTGAGGCTGCGGTGCCTCAAATATTGGAAGAAGTCACCCCCTGTGAGTGGCTGGCTGAGGTGCCATCTGTTGAGGAAGTAGTGAAGGCGATCCGGAGTCTGAGACCAGGAAAGGCAGCGGGCAGAGATGATCTCCCAATCGAAATGCTGAGGGAGGGTGGCGTTTGTGCACAGACTGCCCTATATGACATCATAACAACAGTCTGGACCACTGGACGGGTTCCGCAGGATTGGAAGGATGCCCTGGTGGTCCCCCTTTTTAAGAAGATGTTCTTGCTTGCTTTTTAAGAAGGGGGACTGCACAGACTGTAACAACTACAGGGGCATCTCACTCCTCAGTGTGCCGGGAAAGGTCCTGGCAAGGATTATTCAGCATCGCCTTGCCAGGCACGCTGAGGAGAGGCTTGCGGAGCCCCAATGCGGTTTCAGGAAAGGGCGGTCCTGCACAGATGCCATATTTTTTGTCCGTCTGCTACAACAGAGGTGTAGGGAATTTCAACAAGACCTACATCTCTGCTTTATTGACCTGGTCAAGGCCTATGATACCATCAGTAGGCCTGGGCTCTGGGTTGTTCTTCGTGCTTTTGGAGTACCTGACCCTCTGCTCACGATCATTAAGGACCTTCATGATGGTGAGCGGGCCCGGGTAAAACTACGTGGCCGGGAGTCAGAGCCATTCCCTGTACACCTTGGGGTGCGACAGAGATGTCCTCTGGCTCCCACATTATTTAACATCTATTTTGACCACGTAGTTCGTGAAGCCTTCAATAGCTGTACCGGGGGAATCTCCATATGGTACAGATATAATGGGAGGCTGATCGATGCCCGGGTGCGGTCAAGGGATGGCTCCCTATTGCTCAACCACGTTATGTATGCTGATGATTTGGTAATAGCTGCTCATTCAGAGGAGGAGTTGGAGACGCTGCTGCTGAGACTGGAGCGTGCCACTAAGAGGTGGGGCCTTACCATCAGCCCCACCAAAACTAAGCACCTGCCTGGGTATTTTGTACCATCGGACACTCCACCCCCACAACTCCCAATCGGTGATGGGGCAGTTGTGGAGAGAGTGGAGAGTTTCCCATACCTGGGCAGTGTGCTTATGACTGGCTCCAGTTTAACAGCAGAGGTCTCACTCCGAATCAGTCGAGCAGCAATATATTTTCATCGGTTGCGTAACGCTGTGTGGAAGCTACCTGGTCTGTCGCTCCGCACTAAGCTTCAGGTCTTCTCGGCCACGGTCATTCCCTCCCTTCTCTACACTTGCGAAACGTGGACCCCCCTAATGGAACATCTTCGCCGGTTAGAAACATTTAGGCTGGCCTGCCTACGATCCATTCTGGGTTTAACCAGACTGGATTGCGTGAGGAGCTCACAAATCCTTGAAAGATCTGGGCAAGGTCCCATCGGTGAGCTCCTCCGGCAGGCAAGGCTGCGATGGCTGGGTCATGTAGCCCGCATGCCCAGCCACCGCATGCCGAAACAGCTTTTGTTCGGCCGGATTGAGGGGGCTAAGCGGGCGCGGCACGGGCTAGAGAAGAGATGGAGTGATGTGGTACAGGAGGACGTGGAGCTGAGTGGACTTGCCGATGACCGGTACCAGCGGTGTCAAGATCGGCCTCTGTGGAGGAGGCTCGTGAAGGACGCTACTGGGCAGTTGGAGGCAGTCGCCCTCCAACAACAACGGAGGGCGGAGGAGCGACGCTCAGAACAACGAGCGGAGCGCCGGGTGGCTAAAGCACAGCAGGTTGGCACAATAGGGGGCACAGGTGGTGCATCAGCCAGTCATCTCAGTCAGTCGACCCGTGGCACCTGGGTCTGCCCCGTGACCTCCTGCCAGCGGGCGTTCGACACTTCACGTGGCCTCACGGTGCACATAGCCTGGTACAAGCGTCGTGGTGACGTCACCGCCACTTAGTGGCGAATGGCGGTTGTTGTTGTGTGTCTGTGTGTGTGTGTCTGTGTGTGTCTGTGTGTGTGTGTGTGTGTCTGTGTGTGGCTGTGTGTGTGTGGCTGTGTGTATGTGTCTGTGTGTGTGTGTGTCTGTGTGTGTGTCTTTCTGCATGTGTCTCTCTCCGTGTCTCACCGTGCGTGTCTCTCTGTGTGTGTCTCTCTGTGTGTCTCTCTGTGTGTGTCTCCCCGTGTCTCACCCGGCGTGTCTCACAGTGCGTGTCTCTCTGTGCGTGTCTCTCTGTGTGTCTCTCTGTGCGTGTCTCTCTGTGTGTCTCTCTGTGCGTGTCTCTCTGTGTGTCTCTCTGTGTGTGTCTCTCCGTGTCTCACCGTGCGTGTCTCTCTGTGTGTCTCTCTGTGTGTCTCTCTCTGTGTGTGTCTCTCCGTGTCTCACCCGGCGTGTCTCACCGTGCGTGTCTCCGTGGGTGTGCAGCAGCAGGAGGAGCAGCAGCAGCAGCAGCAGCAGCAGGGGCAGCATCAGCATCAGCAGCAGCAGGAGGTGGTGGTGGAGGCTTCTGTGGAGCAGCTTGAGGAGAGAAGCCGTAGCTTGCAGGAGGAGCTGCGGCTTCACAAGGCCGAGCTGCAGGCCAAGAGCGAGGAGCTGGACGTCCTCATCAGGTTGCCGGGATACCGGGTCGCCACGGTTACCGGGTTGCTAGGTCGCCACGGTTACCGGGTTGCTAGGTTGCTGGGTTGCTGGGTCACCATGGTTACTGGGTTGCTAGGTCACCATGGTTACTGGGTTGCTAGGTTACTGGGTTGCTAGGTCGCCATGGTTACTGGGTTGCTAGGTTAATGCATCGCCATGGTTACTGGGTTGCTAGGTGAGTGAGTGGGTGGGTGAGTGGGTGAGTGAGTGAGTTAGTGGGTGGGTGGGTGGGTGAGTGGGTGGGTGAGTGGGTGGGTGGGTGAATGAGCGAGCGGGCGAGCAGGCGGGTGAGCGTGTGTTTGTGTGTTCGTGTGTGCGTGTGTGTGTGTGCGTGCGTGTGTGTGTGTGTCACTGTGTGTGTGTGCGTGTGTGTCACTGTGTGTGTGTGCGTGTGTGCGTGTGTGTGTGTGAGCGTGTGTGTGTGTGTGTCACTGTGTGTGTGAGCGTGTGTGTGTGTGCGTGTGTGTGTCTGTGTGTCTGTGTGTGTGTGCGTGTGTGTGTGCGTGTGTGTCACTGTGTGTGTGTGCAGGTGCCTGCGTGACTTCCAGGTGCAGCGAGCGAGTCGCCTGGGTGAGCGTGGCGAGGTGAGCGTGGTGAGGAGGGTGCAGGTGAACCTGGCCAGAGCCACGTGGACCCTCACCGAGCCGGACGGGCAGCTCGCCATCGCCTCACTGCAGCTCAGGGACTTCGTGCACAGTAAGGTGAGCGGGCGGGTGAGTTGGTGAGTGGGTGAGTGGGTGGGTGAGCGGGCGGGTGAGTGAGTGGGTGAGTGAGTGGGTGAGTGAGTAGGTGAGTGGGTGAGTTGGTGGGTTAGTGGGTGAGTGGGTGAGTGGGCGGGTGAGTTGGTGGGTGGGTGAGTGGGTGGGTTGGTGAGTGGGTGAGCAAGTGGGTGAGTGGGTGAGCGGGTGGGTGAGTGAGTGAGTGTGTAAGTGTGTGTGTGTAAGTGTGTGTGTGTGTAAGTGTGTGTGTGTGTGTAAGTGTGTGTGTGTGTAAGTGTGTGTGTAAGTGTGTGTGTGTGTAAGTGTGTGTGTGTGTAAGTGTGTAAGTGTGTGTGTGTAAGTGTGTGTGTAAGTATGTGTAAGTGTGTGTGTGTAAGTGTAAGTGTGTGGAAGTGTGTGTGTGTGTGTAAATGTGTGTGTGTGTGTAAGTGTGTGTAAGTGTGTGTGTGTGTAAGTATGTGTAAGTGTGTGTGTGTAAGTGTGTGTGTGTAAATGTGTGTGTGTGTGTAAGTGTGTGTAAGTGTGTGTGTGTGTAAGTATGTGTAAGTGTGTGTGTGTAAGTGTGTGTGTGTAAGTGTGTGTGTGTGTGTAAATGTGTGTGTGTGTGTGTAAGTGTGTGTGTGTGTAAGTGTGTAAGTGTGTGTGTGTGTGTAAGTGTGTGTGTGTGTGTAAGTGTGTAAGTGTGTGTGTGTAAGTGAGTGTGTGTAAGTGTGTGTAAGTGTGTGTGTGTGTAAGTGTGTGTAAGTGTGTGTGTGTGTTCACCGGGCAGGTGAATCGCTCAGATGACACAGCTGAGCACCTGCTGGAGCTGGGCTGGTTCACGATGCACTCACTACTGCCCAACTTCCGGCAGGTGAACTTACACCACCACCACCACCACAACCACCACCACAACCACCACCACAACCACCACCACAACCACCACCACAACCACCACCACAACCACCATCACCACCACCATCACCACCACAACCATCACCACAACCACCACCACAACCACCATCACCACCACCACCACAACCACCATCACCACCATCACCACAACCACCACCATCACCACAACCACCACCACAACCACCACCACCACCACCACAACCACCATCACCACCACCATCACCATCACCACAACCACCACAACCACCACCACAACCACCACAACCACCATCACCCCAACCACCACCATAACCACCACAACCACCATCACCACCACCATCACCATCACGACAACCACCACGACAACCACCACAACCACCACCACAACCACCACAACCACCACCACCACCACAACCACCATCACCACCACAACCACCACAACCACCATCACCACCACCACAACCACCATCACCACAACCACCACAACCACCACAACCATCACCACCACAACCACCATCACCACCACAACCACCACCATCACCACCACCACAACCACCATCACCACCACCACACCCACCATCACCACAACCACCACAACCACCACAACCATCACCACCACAACCACCATCACCACCACCACAACCACCATCTCCACAACCACCACAACCATCACCACCACAACCACCATCACCACCACAACCATCACCACCACCACCACAACCACCACCATCACCACCACCACAACCACCATGACCACCACAACCACCACAACCACCAGAACCACCATCACCATCACCACCACAACCACCATCACCACAACCACCACAACCACCATCTCCACCACAACCACCATCTCCACCACAACCACCATCACCACCACAACCACCACCACCACCACAACCACCACCACAACCACCACAACCACCACAACCACCACCACAACCACCATCACAAACACCACCACCACAACCACCATCACCACAACCACCACCACAACCACCACAACCACCACCACAACCACCACCACCACCACCACCATCACCACCACCACAACCACCACAACCACCACCACAACCACCACCACCACCATCACCACCACAACCACCACAACCACCACAACCACCATCACCACCACCACAACCACCATCACCACAACCACCACAACCACCACAACCACCACAACCATCACCACCACACCACCATCACCACCACAACCACCACCACAACCACCACCACCACAACCACCATGACCACCACAACCACCACAACCACCATCACCACCACAACCACCATCACCACAACCACCACAACCACCATCTCCACCACAACCACCATCTCCACCACAACCACCATCACCACCACAACCACCACAACCACCATCACCACCACAACCACCATCACCACCACAACCACAACCACCACAACCACCATCACCACCACAACCACCACAACCACCACAACCATCACCACCACAACCACCATCACCACCATCACCACCATCACCACCACCATCACCACCACCACAACCACCACAACCACCATCACCACCATCACCACCATCACCACAACCACCACCACCACCACCACAACCACCACCATAGCCACCACAACCACCACAACCACCATCACCACCACCACCATCACCACCATCACCACCACCATCACCACCACCATCACCACCACAACCACCATCACCACCACCACAACCACCACAACCACCATCACCACAACCACCATCACCACCACAACCACCATCACCACCACCACAACCACCACAACCACCATCACCACAACCACCATCACCACCACAACGACCTTGTCGCCCACAGGAAGTGCTGATGCCCCAGAATGCAATGCAGCCGTGCCGCCACCTCGCCCTCAGAATCTTCAGCCGCGTGGGGCCCCCAGTGGGTGGCATCTCTGTGAAGGAGCACTTCGAGGTGAGCGTGGGGTGAGTGGTGTGGTGAGTGTGGGGTGAGCGTGGGGTGAGTGGTGTGGTGAGTGGTGTGGTGAGTGGTGTGGTGAGTGTGAAGGAGCACTTCGAGGTGAGCGTGGGGGTGAGCGTGGGGTGGTGAGTGTGGGGGTGAGTGTGAGGGTGAGTGGTGTGGTGAGTGTGGGGTGAGCGTGGGGTGAGTGGTGTGGTGAGTGTGGGGTGAGCAGTGTGGTGAGTGTGGGGGTGAGTGTGGGGTAAGCGTGGGGTGAGTGGTGTGGTGAGCGTGGAGTGAGCGTGGGGTGAGCGTGGGGTGAGCGTGGGGTGAGTGTGGGGTGAGTGGTGTGGTGAGTGGTGTGGTGAGTGTGGGGTGAGCGTGGGGTGAGCGGTGTGGTGAGTGGTGTGGTGAGTGGTGTGGTGAGTGTGAAGGAGCACTTCGAGGTGAGCGTGGGGGTGAGCGTGGGGTGGTGAGTGTGGGGGTGAGTGTGAGGGTGAGTGGTGTGGTGAGCGTGGGGTGAGCGTGGGGTGAGCGTGGGGTGAGCGTGGGGTGAGTGTGGGGTGAGTGGTGTGGTGAGCGTGGGGTGAGCGGTGTGGTGAGTGGTGTGGTGAGTGGTGTGGTGAGCGTGGAGTGAGCGTGGGGTGAGCGTGGGGGTGAGTGTGGGGGTGAGTGTGGGGTGAGCGTGGGGTGAGTGGTGTGGTGAGTGTGGGGGTGAGTGTGGGGGTGAGCGTGGGGGTGAGTGGTGGGGTGAGCGTGGGGGTGAGCGTGGGGGTGAGCGTGGGGTGAGTGTGGGGGTTAGTGTGAAGGAGCACTTCGGGGTGAGCGTGGGGTGAGTGTGGGGTGAGCGTGGGGTGAGTGGTGTGGTGAGTGTGTGGTGAGTGGTGTGGTGAGTGGTGTGGTGAGTGTGGGGGTGAGCGTGGGGTGAGCAGTGTGGTGAGTGGAGTGGTGAGTGGTGTGGTGAGCGTGGGGTGAGTGGTGTGGTGAGCGGTGTGGTGAGCGTGGGGTGAGTGGTGTGGTGAGTGTGGGGGTGAGTGTGGGGGGGGTGAGTGTGGGGGGGGTGAGCGTGGGGGTGAGTGTGGGGTGAGTGTGGGGGGGGGTGAGTGTGGGGGTGAGTGTGGGGGTGAGTGGTGTGGTGAGTGTGGGGGTGAGTGGTGTGGTGAGTGTGGGGGTGAGTGGTGTGGTGAGTGTGGGGGTGAGCGGGGGTGGTGAGCGTGGGGGTGAGTGTGGGGGTGAGCGTGGGGTGAGTGTGGGGGTGAGTGTGGGAGGAGTGTGGGGGTGAGTGTGGGGGTGAGTGTGGGGGTGAGTGTGGGGGGTGAGCGTGGGGGTGAGCGTGGGGGTGAGCGTGTGGGGTGAGCGTGTGTGGTGAGCGTGTGTGGTGAGCGGTGTGGTGAGCGGTGTGTTGACGGTGTTGAATCTCTCACCACCACCACCATCATCACAGTGCCTTACGAGATGTTGACCACCTCGCCCGGTCTGCCGGAGCCCGTCGGTTCGGCACCGGACCCCTGCTGCTGTAAATGTATAGCCCCCCCCCCCCCCCGTGCCCCCCCCCGTGCCCCCCCCCGTGCCCCCCCCCAAGGTGAACGTAGTGCCGCTGGAACTACGCCTCACCTACCACCTCTTTAAGAGGCTCATGAGCTTCTTGTTCCCTGGGAGAGCCACGGACGACGAGGAGGACGAGTCCTCAGCAGGACTCGTCGCTGACGATGACAAATCTCGACTCGTCACTACAGGTGCTCACCACTCGCTCACCAATTGCTCACCACTCGCTCACCACTTACTCACCACTCACCAATTACTCACAGACTCACTCACTAACTCACTCACTCACTCACTAACTCACTCACTCACTAACTCACTCACTCACCACTCGCTCACCACTTACCACTCACCATTTACTACAAAACTCACTAACTAACTCACTCACTAACTACACCACTCACTCACTACACCACTCACTCACTCACCACTCACTCACTACACCACTCACTCACTACACTCACTCACTCACTACACCACTCACTCACTACACCACTCACTCACTACACCACTCACTCACCACTTGCTCACCAATTACTCACCGCTCACCAATTACTACAACACTCACTCACTCACTAACTCACTCACTCACTCACTCACTAACTCACTCACTCACCACTCGCTCACCACTTACCACTCACCATTTACTACAAAACTCACTAACTAACTCACTCACTCACTCACTAACTACACCACTCACTCACTACACCACTCACTCACTCACCACTCACTCACTACACCACTCACTCACTACACTCACTCACTACACCACTCACTCACTACACCACTCACTCACCACTTGCTCACCAATTACTCACCGCTCACCAATTACTACAACACTCACTCACTCACTAACTCACTCACTCACTAACTCACTCACTCACTCACCACTCGCTCACCACTTACCACTCACCATTTACTACAAAACTCACTAACTCACTCACTCACTAACTACACCACTCACTCACTACACCACTCACTCACTCACCACTCACTCACTACACCACTCACTCACTACACTCACTCACTCACTACACCACTCACTCACTACACCACTCACTCACCACTTGCTCACCAATTACTCACCGCTCACCAATTACTACAACACTCACTCACTCACTAACTAACTAACTCACTCACTCACTCACTCACTAACTCACTCACTCACTCACTAACTCACTCACTCACCACTCGCTCACCACTTACCACTCACCATTTACTACAAAACTCACTAACTAACTCACTCACTCACTAACTACACCACTCACTCACTACACCACTCACTCACTCACCACTCACTCACTACACCACTCACTCACTACACTCACTCACTACACCACTCACTCACTCACTACACCACTCACTCACTACACCACTCACTCACCACTCGCTCACCAATTACTCACCGCTCACCAATTACTACAACACTCACTCACTAACTAACTCACTCACTCACTCACTAACTCACTCACTCACCACTCGCTCACCACTTACCACTCACCATTTACTACAAAACTCACTAACTAACTCACTCACTCACTAACTACACCACTCACTCACTACACCACTCACTCACTCACCACTCACTCACTACACCACTCACTCACTACACTCACTCACTCACTACACCACTCACTCACTCACTACACCACTCACTCACTACACCACTCACTCACCACTCACTCACCAATTACTCACCGCTCACCAATTACTACAACACTCACTCACTAACTCACTCACTCACTCACTAACTCACTCACTCACTCACCACTCGCTCACCACTTACTCACCACTCACCATTCACTACAAAACTCACTAACTAACTCACTCACTCACTCACTAACTACACCACTCACTCACTACACCACTCACTCACTCACCACTCACTACACCACTCACTCACTACACTCACTCACTCACTACACCACTCACTCACTCACTACACCACTCACTCACTACACCACTCACTCACCACTCGCTCACCAATTACTCACCGCTCCCCAATTACTACAACACTCACTCACTCACTAACTCACTCACTCACTCACTAACTCACTCACTCACCACTCGCTCACCACTTACTCACCACTCACCATTCACTACAAAACTCACTAACTCACTCACTCACTAACTACACCACTCACTCACTACACCACTCACTCACTCACCACTCACTCACTACACCACTCACTCACTACACTCACTCACTCACTACACCACTCACTCACTCACTACACCACTCACTCACTACACCACTCACTCACCAATTACTCACCGCTCACCAATTACTACAACACTCACTCACTCACTAACTCACTCACTCACTACACCACTCACTCACTACACCACTCACTCACTACACCACTCACTCACTCACTACACCACTCACTCACTACACCACTCACTCACCAATTACTCACCGCTCACCAATTACTACAACACTCACTCACTCACTCACTAACTCACTCACTCACCACTCGCTCACCACTTACTCACCACTCACCATTTACTACAAAACTCACTAACTCACTCACTCACTAACTACACCACTCACTCACTACACCACTCACTCACTCACTACACCACTCACTCACTCACTCATCCACTCACTCACTAACTCACCACTTAATACACCACTCACTCACTCACCAGTGGTCCTGTTTTGTGTGTGTCTGTGTGTGTCTGTGTGTGTGTGTGTCTGTGTGTGTGTCCGTGTGTGTCTGTGTGTGTGTGTGTCTGTGTGTGTGTGTGTCTGTGCGTGCATATGTCTGTGTGTGTGTGTGTCTGTGTGTGTGTGTGTGTCTGTGTGTGTGTGTGTCTGTGTGTGTGTCTGTGTGTGTGTGTCTGTGTGTGTGGGTCTGTGTGTGTGGGTCTGTGTGTGTGTGTGTCTGTGTGTGTGTGTCTGTGTGTGTGTGTCTGTGCGTGCATATGTCTGTGTGTGTGTGTGTGTCTGTGTGTGTCTGTGTGTGTGTGTCTGTGTGTGTGTGTCTGTGTGTGTGTCTGTGTGTGTGTGTCTGTGTGTGTGGGTCTGTGTGTGTGTGTGTCTGTGTGTATGTGACTGTGTGTGTGACTGTGTGTGACTTGTGTGTCTGTGTGTGTCTGTCTGTGTGTGTGTGACTGTGTGTATGTGACTGTGTCTGTCTGTGTCTCTGTGTGTGTGTATGACTGTGTGTGTGTCTGTGTGTGTGTCTGTGTGTCTGTGTGTGTGTGTGTCTGTGTGTGTGTCTGTGTGTGTGGGTGTGGGTCTGTGTGTGTCTGTGTGTGTGTGTGTCTTTGACTGTGTGACTGTGTGTGTATAACTGTGTGTGTGACTGTGTGTCTGTGTGTGTGTCTGTGTGTGTGGGTCTGTGTGTGTGTCTGTGTGTGTGTGTGTGACTGTGTGTGTGTGTCTCTGACTGTGTGACTGTGTGTGTATAACTGTGTGTATGACTGTGTGTGTGACTGTGTGTATGACTGTGTGTGTCTGTGTGTGTGTGTGTCTGTGTGTGTGTGTCTGTGTGTGTGGGTCTGTGTGTGACTGTGTGTGTGTGTGTGACTGTGTGTGTCTCTGACTGTGTGACTGTGTGTGTATAACTGTGTGTATGACTGTGTGTGTGTCTCTGACTGTGTGACTGTGTGTGTGTGACTGTGTGTGTATAACTGAGTGTATGACTGTGTGTGTGTCTCTGACTGTGTGACTGTGTGTGTGTGACTGTGTGTGTATAACTGTGTGTATGACTGTGTGTATGACTGTGTGTGTGACTGTGTGACTGACTGTGTGTGTGTGTGACTGTGTGTCTCTTGTCTCTGACTGTGTGTGTACACTGTGTGTCTCTGTGTGTGTGTGACTGTGTGTGTGACTGTGTGTGTGTGACTGTGTGTGTGACTGTGTGTGTGACTGTGTGTGTGACTGTGTGTGACTGTGACTGTGTGTGACTGTGTGTGTGACTGTGTGTGTGACTGTGTGACTGTGTCTCTGACTGTGTGTGTACACTGTGTGTCTCTGTCTGTGTGTTAGGGATCCGCCGGACTCAGCTGGTGGGTGATGACCCCCCGGGCCCCCTCCCTCGCCAAGGGGGGGGGCTGCCCCGGGGGGGAGCTCTCAGAAGATCATTCCGTAGGACCCCCCAAGAGGTGACACACACACACACAGTCACACACACAGTCACACACACAGACAGTCACACAGTCACACACACAGTGTACACACAGTCACACACACACAGTCACACACACAGTGTACACAGTCACACAGTGTACACACACACAGTCACACAGTCACACACACACAGTGTACACAGTCACACAGTCACACACACACACAGTGTACACACACAGTGTACACAGTCACACAGTGTACACACACACAGTCACACAGTCACACACACACACAGTGTACACACACAGTGTACACAGTCATACAGTGTACACACACACAGTCACACAGTCACACACACACAGTGTACACAGTCACACAGTGTACACACACACAGTGTACACACACAGTGTACACAGTCACACAGTGTACACAGTCACACAGTGTACACAGTCACACAGTGTACACACACACAGTGTACACACACAGTGTACACAGTCACACAGTGTACACAGTCACACAGTGTACACAGTCACACAGTGTACACACACACAGTGTACACACACAGTGTACACAGTCACACAGTGTACACAGTCACACAGTGTACACACACACAGTGTACACACACAGTGTACACAGTCACACAGTGTACACACACACAGTCACACAGTCACACACACACACAGTGTACACACACAGTCACACAGTCACCCAGTGTACACACACAGTCACACACACAGTCACACACACAGTCACACACAGTCACACAGTGTACACACACAGTCACACACACAGTCACACAGTGTACACACACAGTCACACAGTCACACAGTCACACACACAGTCACACAGTGTACACACACAGTCACACACACAGTGTACACACACAGTCACACACAGTCACACAGTCACACACACAGTCACACACACAGTCACACACAGTCACACACACACAGTGTACACACACACAGTGTACACACACACAGTGTACACACACACACAGTGTACACACACAGTGTACACACACACACAGTGTACACACACAGTGTACACACACACAGTGTACACACACACAGTCACACACACACAGACAGACACACACACAGTCACACACACAGTCACACTCACAGTCACACACACAGACACACACACACAGTCACACACACACAGTCACACAGTGTGCACACACAGTCACACAGTCACACACACACACATAGTCACACACAGTCACACACACACACACAGTCACACACACAGTCACACACAGTCACACACAGTCACACGCACACACACAGTCACACAGACACACACAGTCACACACACAGTCACACACACAGTCACACACAGTCACACACACAGACACACACACACAGTCACACACACAGTCACACACACAGTCACACACGCACACAGTCACACACACACAGTCAGACACAGTCACACACACACACAGTCACGCACACACAGTCACACACACACACACACAGTCACACACACACAGTCACACACACAGTTATGCACACAGTCACGCACACAGTCACACACACAGTCACACACAACAACAACAACCGCCATTCGCCACTAAGTGGCGGTGACGTCACCACGACGCTTGTGCCAGGCTATGTGCACCGTGAGGCCACGTGAAGTGTCGAACGCCCGCTGGCAGGAGGTCACTGGGCAGACCCAGGTGCCACGGGTCGACTGACTGAGATGACTGGCTGATGCACCACCTGTGCCCCCTACTGTGCCAATCTGCTGTGCTTTAGCCACCCGGCGCTCCGCTCGTTGTTCTGAGCGTCGCTCCTCCGCCCTCCGTTGTTGTTGGAGGGCGACTGCCTCCAACTGCCCAGTAGCGTCCTTCACGAGCCTCCTCCACAGAGGCCGATCTTGACATCGCTGGTACCAGTCATCGGCAAGTTCACTCAGCTCCACGTCCTCCTGTACCACATCACTCCATCTCTTCTCTAGCCCGTGCCGCGCCCGCTTAGCCCCCTCAATCCGGCCAAACAAAAGCTGTTTCGGCATGCGGTGGCTGGGCATGCGGGCTACATGACCCAGCCATCGCAGCCTTGCCTGCCGGAGGAGCTCACTGATGGGACCCTGCCCAGATCTTTCAAGGATTTGTGAACTCCTCACACAATCCAGTCTGGTTAAACCCAGGATGGATCGTAGGCAGGCCAGCCTAAATGTTTCTAACCGGCGAAGATGTTCCATTAGGGGGGTCCACGTTTCGCAAGCGTAGAGAAGGGAGGGAATGACCGTGGCCGAGAAGACCTGAAGCTTAGTGCGGAGCGACAGACCAGGTAGCTTCCACACAGCGTTACGCAACCGATGAAAAGATATTGCCGCTCGACTGATTCGGAGTGAGACCTCTGCTGTTAAACTGGAGCCAGTCATAAGCACACTGCCCAGGTATGGGAAACTCTCCACTCTCTCCACAACTGCCCCATCACCGATTGGGAGTTGTGGGGGTGGAGTGTCCGATGGTACAAAATACCCAGGCAGGTGCTTAGTTTTGGTGGGGCTGATGGTAAGGCCCCACCTCTTAGTGGCACGCTCCAGTCTCAGCAGCAGCGTCTCCAACTCCTCCTCTGACTGAGCAGCTATTACCAAATCATCAGCATACATAACGTGGTTGAGCAATAGGGAGCCATCCCTTGACCGCACCCGGGCATCGATTAGCCTCCCATTATATCTGTACCATATGGAGATTCCCTCGGTACAGCTATTGAAGGCTTCACGAACTACGTGGTCAAAATATATGTTAAATAATGTGGGAGCCAGAGGACATCCCTGTCGCACCCCAAGGTGTACAGGGAATGGCTCTGACTCCCGGCCACGTAGTTTTACCCGGGCCCGCTCACCATCATGAAGGTCCTTAATGATCGTGAGCAGAGGGTCAGGTACTCCAAAAGCACGAAGAACGACCCAGAGCCAAGGCCTACTGATGGTATCATAGGCCTTGACCAGGTCAATAAAGCAGAGATGTAGGTCTTGTTGGAATTCCCTACACCTCTGCTGTAGCAGACGGACAGAAAATATGGCATCTTTGCAGGACCGCCCTTTCCTGAAACCGCATTGGGGCTCCGCAAGCCTCTCCTCAGCGTGCCTGGCAAGGCGATGCTGAATAATCCTTGCCAGGACCTTTCCCGGCACACTTAGGAGTGAGATGCCCCGTAGTTGTTACAGTCTGTGTGGTCCCCCTTCTTAAAAAGGGGGACCACCAGGGCATCCTTCCAATCCTGCGGAACCCGTCCAGTGGTCCAGACTGTTGTTATGATGTCATATAGGGCAGTCTGTGCACAAACGCCACCCTCCCTCTGCATTTCGCTTGGGAGATCATCTCTGCCCGCTGCCTTTCCTGGTCTCAGACTCCGGATCGCCTTCAATACTTCCTCAGCAGATGGCACCTCAGCCAGCCACTCACAGGGGGTGACTTCTTCCAATATTTGAGGCACCGCAGCCTCAGCAGGGTCATCCTCACTTTGTGCCACAATGTTTTCCTGGCTGAGGGATTTTCCCTCCCCCAGGACCTCACAGAAATGCTCAGCAAATCTGCGAACCTGTTCCTGGGGGTCGGAGATTGGATCACCGTTTTTTCCCTAATGATGGTAATAGGTGTGGCGCTGCAGGTTACTTTTTTGATGGAGTTAAATAGAGATTTGTGATCACGGGCCACTGAGGCAGACTCCATCTCCTCAGCAACCCGCGACCACCACCCATCCTTGCAGCGCCTCACGGCTCTCCGAACCTCCGAGCGAAGGCTGCGGTAAGCCTCCTCATTCTCTGACGTGGGATTCTGTAGCCGATGACAGTGGGCCTGTCGCTTTTTCTCAACCATCCTGAACACCTCCTCTGTCAGCCAGGGTCTCTGGGGAGGTCTGGACCGCGTACCCAAAGCAGCCATTGCAGCTGCATGAGTCACAGTCCTAAACCTCGCCCATTTACCCTCGACATCAGGAGGAGTCGGGGACGATGCCAATCCCAGCCGCAAGCGATGATGAAATTCTCGCTTGCAACTTTCATCAGATAACTGAGACCAGGCCACTTTATGTTGGAATGGGGTCCTGGGTGTACACCCACCACCGGAGTGGAAGAATGGCAGGCGCATCTTACAGATGACTAGTCGATGGTCAGAGGGCAGATCAGCTCCACGGTAGGTCCTGGTGTCAAGGACATGGGCTCGCATTCGCTGGTCCGTCACTATGTAGTCCAGCAGATGTTCTTGCTTGAACCCGGCATGCATCCATGATGTTGTGTGGATGCGCCGATGCCGGAACAGCGTGTTGGTAATTACAATCCCATGGGCTGCACAAAAATCTAGCAGCCTCCTACCATTGTTATTGAGCTGATCTGGCCCATGCCCTCCAATCACTCCAGACCAGGTGCCAGTATCATGACCAACTCGGGCATTGAAGTCACCCAACATGATGACTCTATCCCGAGGGGCCACTTTAGCCAGCACCTGTGACAGGAGGTCATAGAGGCATCTGACTCATCGGCTTTGCCTGCATCCCTCCACGGATGTTCATCTTCGGTGGGGGCATAAGTAACCACGACCACCATTCCTCGCCTCCGGTTGATGGGAAGGCGAGCCCAAAGTAGCCTGGGGCTTAGAGCTTCCCACACCTCACCGCCACGCTCCCACGCCCCCTTCATTCTTTTGTTCAAAAGAAGACCCACACCCTGTTGTTTGGCAGTCTGCTGCCCCGAGTAGAGGACTGTCCACCCCTCATGGTGGCAGGAGCCAGAGCCGGTCCACCGGACCTCCTGAATGCCGCATAGATCCAGGCGGTACCGGTCCAGCTCCCGACAGAGGAGTGGCAGCCTCTCCTCTGCAGTGAGCGTTCGAACATTCCACGTGGCCACCCGTAGTGGCTTTTCGTTGTTTCTGGAGTAGCCCCGAGGGTAGGTATTCAATCTCCTGGCTCCGCCACACACACACACAGACACACACACACAGTCACACACACAGTCACACACACAGTCACACACACAGTCACACACACAGACACACACAGTCACACACGCAGTCACACACACAAATACAGTGTTACACACACAGTCACACACACAGACACACACACGCAGTCACACACACAGACACACACACACAGACACACACACAGACACACACACACAGACACACACACACAGTGACACACACACACAGTCACACACAGACACACACACACACACAGTCACACACACACACACAGACACACACACACACATACAACAACAACAACCGCCATTCGCCACTAAGTGGCGGTGACGTCACCACGACGCTTGTGCCAGGCTATGTGCACCCTGAGGCCACGTGAAGTGTCGAACGCCCGCTGGCAGGAGGTCACGGGGCAGACCCAGGTGCCACGGGTCGACTGACTGTCTCCCTGTGTGTCTCCCCGTGTCTCCCCGAGTCTCCACGTGTGTCTCCACGTGCGTCTCCCCGTGTCTCCCCGTGTCTCTCCGTGTGTCCCCGCGTGTCTCTCTGCGTGTCTCCCCGTGTCTCCCCGTGTGTCTCCCCGTGTCTCCCCGTGTCTCCCCGCGTGTCTCCCCGTGTGTCTCCCCGTGTGTCTCCGTGTCTCCCCGTGTCTCCCCGTGTGTCTCCCCGTGTCTCCCCATGTGCCTCCCCTGTGTCCCCGTGTGTCTCCCCGTGTCTCCCCGTGTCTCCCCGCGTGTCTCCCACATGAGCAGCAGCCGCCTGCCGTCTTCGACGACATCGAGAAGATGAAAGAGCGGGCGGCACGGAACCACTCATTCATTTACATCAAGATTCCACAGGTACCCATCACGGTGAGCTACAAGGTGAGTGGGAGACACACGGAGAGACACGGGGAGACACACGGGGAGACACGGGGAGACACACGGGGAGACACGCGGGGAGACACGCGGGGAGACACGCGGGGAGACACGGGGAGACACGGGGAGACACGGGGAGACACTCATTCATTTACATCAAGATTCCACAGGTACCCATCACGGTGAGCTACAAGGTGAGTGGGAGACACACGGAGAGACACGGGGAGACACACGGGGAGACACGGGGAGACACACGGGGAGACACGCGGGGAGACACGCGGGGAGACACGCGGGGAGACACGGGGAGACACGGGGAGACACGGGGAGACACTCATTCATTTACATCAAGATTCCACAGGTACCCATCACGGTGAGCTACAAGGTGAGTGGGAGACACACGGAGAGACACGGGGAGACACACGGGGAGACACGGGGAGACACACGGGGAGACACGCGGGGAGACACGCGGGGAGACACGCGGGGAGACACGGGGAGACACGGGGAGACACGGGGAGACACTCATTCATTTACATCAAGATTCCACAGGTACCCATCACGGTGAGCTACAAGGTGAGTGGGAGACACACGGTGAGACACACGGGGAGACACGGGGAGACACGGGGAGACACACGGGGAGACACGGGGAGACACGGGGAGACACGGGGAGATACACGGAGAGACACACGGGGAGACACGGGGAGACACGGGGAGACACGGGGAGACACTCATTCATTTACATCAAGATTCCACAGGTACCCATCACGGTGAGCTACAAGGTGAGTGGGAGACACACGGGGAGACACGGGGAGACACGGGGAGACACACGGAGAGACACGGGGAGACACGGGGAGACACACGGGGAGACACGGGGAGACACACGGAGAGACACTCGGAGAGACACTCATTCATTTACATCAAGATTCCACAGGTACCCATCACGGTGAGCTACAAGGTGAGTGGGAGACACACGGGGAGACACGGGGAGACACGGGGAATCACTCATTTATTTAGAGCCGTTACCCCACGTGACCCCCACGTGACCCCCACGTGACCCCCACGTGACCCCCACGTGACACCCCCACGTGACCAGGGAGAGAAGGAGAAGAACATAGAGGACGTGAAGGACTTCCAGCTGGTGCTGCCCCCACGTGACCCCCACGTGACCCCCATGTGACCCCCACGTGACCCCCATGTGACCCCTTGTGACCCCCACGTGACCAGGGAGAGAAGGAGAAGAACATAGAGGACGTGAAGGACTTCCAGCTGGTGCTGCCCCCATGTGACCCCCACGTGACCCCCATGTGACCCCCACGTGACCCCCATGTGACCCCTTGTGACCCCCACGTGACCCCACGTGACCCCCACGTGACTCCCACGTGACCAGGGAGAGAAGGAGAAGAACATAGAGGACGTGAAGGACTTCCAGCTGGTGCTGCCCCCTTGTGACCCCCACGTGACCCCCACGTGACCCCACGTGACCCCCACGTGACCAGGGAGAGAAGGAGAAGAACATAGAGGACATGAAGGACTTCCACCTGGTGCTGCCCCCTTGTGACCCCCACGTGACCCCATGTGACCCCCACGTGACCCCCACGTGACCCCCACGTGACCAGGGAGAGAAGGAGAAGAACATAGAGGACGTGAAGGACTTCCAGCTGGTGCTGCCCCCATGTGACCCCCACGTGACCCCTTGTGACCCCCACGTGACCCCCACGTGACCCCCCCACGTGACCCCCACGTGACCAGGGAGAGAAGGAGAAGAACATAGAGGACGTGAAGGACTTCCAGCTGGTGCTGCCCCCTTGTGACCCCCACGTGACCCCCTTGTGACCCCCACGTGACCCCCACGTGACCCCACGTGACCCCCACGTGACCAGGGAGAGAAGGAGAAGAACATAGAGGATGTGAAGGACTTCCAGCTGGTGCTGCCCCCTTGTGACCCCCACGTGATCCCCTTGTGACCCCCACGTGACCCCCACGTGACCCCACGTGACCCCCACGTGACCAGGGAGAGAAGGAGAAGAACATAGAGGACGTGAA